CCCCCCCCCCCCCCCCCCCCAAAATAAAGTGTTTAAGACAAACCAAATTACTGGCCTCATTAGATAGTCAGAAAACTTCAAAAGTAGCCTGGGCTCACCAGCATCTAGCTATCAACACTTGAAACACTTTACTTACTGTTTTAGGGGCTTTGATTTTCTCTTCTGTAAGACGAGTGAATTTTGCTAGGTCATCTCTAAGAGACTTTTCAGTTTTGATTTTCCATGACTTAGAAGCCTGCCTTACTGAGAAGTTACATGCTACTAAACACGTGAAGGACATCTGTGATTAGAAATAAAATGGACCCTGATCTCTCTCTGTAGAGAGGAATTTTAAATTACAAACCAAGAGAAAACTTGACTTTAAAGGAATTTGCATCAACTTAATATTTAGGTCAAGAATTAATGACTGTACTCTTAAGCAACAGAAGATCCCTCCTTCCCTCCACCCTCACACACACCTAACCTCCAACACACCAGAGCTTTCTATTCATAGCTCCAGAATAATGTACTTAAAAAGAAATCTGGGATTTTAAGCAACATCGCTAATCACAAATGGATCATTTGAAATGAGTAAGATAGTTGACACAATATTATGTCAAGATTAACATTTGGCTGATTTTGTTTTTCTTTCACACCCTGAAATATATCCAGTTGACCAAACAAAGAACTATCAAGATTGTACACAAAAATCTCTCTACATTTTCATAAATACTCAATGTAGGACTGCCACCTAGTGGTGGGATGTATCCTTGTATGACAAAATCCCCAAACAGCTAAATTGACACAAGATAATTTTAAAATTAACAAGATTGTTCTGCGGCTGCTCACCAGTCATTTCAGAGAAATTTAAGAGCATACATATCTCCTCAGCTACCTATTTTCCTCAGAGAAATTTCTAAAGAGGTCTATAGCAGAGTTAATGCCGCATTATTAATCCTACAATGAAACCCCACTGCTTCTGAACATACCACAAAACAAAGGAACATTATTACTCTATTAATTTTAATATGCAGTAGCAATTAAAAAAGATTTCCCCAATAGTCTTTTCTCACCTTCTAGATACATTAGATCTAATCTTGATTGTTAGTTATGCATGAAAAGGCATTTAAAAGTGACAACCTTACAAAAAGTGCCCATGATATGAAAATCTTACTTCAATTAAAACCAGTTACTAAATCCTAGCAATTTCCAGCTGTCTCTTCCATCCTATCCTTAGAGAATTATATATCACATTAATTGGTATTCTGTCACATAAAAAGACACTAGCTATAATTAACTGCATCCTTGGTGCTTTTGAGGTATGTCTTCTTCACCAGAGGGATTCAAGTCACACCTCATTACCTTCCTGCAGGGACCCCTTTTGGTAACCCTCATAAAACTGCCTACCTTCCTGAACTTCTCCATTTGCTTGTAGAGGTCTGGATCAAGCTCCTGAGACACGTCCTTCATCCATAATAATGCTCCTCTGTATTCTGTCCGGCACTGCTCCATGCGGTTTACCGTCAGCCAAGTATCTGAGATGGCCCGATGCCGAAAAGTCTCCACTTCTTGGTGAAAACGACACAAAGGATTTCGCAAGGCCAACCTAGATGAGAAGATAAAGCAAAAATCTTGAAACTAAGCCAGCCATTAATTTGAATCCTTGACATTTTGCCAACCTTAAACTCATGAGCCTAGAACAGTGCCTGGAACATAAAAGTTGCTCTATCAATATTTGATAAATAATGACTGAAATGTATGTGAACTGATGAGTCAGCCAGAAATGATTACTCATATACTGATCCCTCAGTTTACTGTTATTAACCTGGACCACTGGGAAAGTACCTCTATCAGTGGTGTTGGGGGTGGTCTCAAGCCTGGGCCAAGACTGCTCTTTTGAAGCTGGAACCAATCCTGTGTTAATGGACAGTCAAGGCACGACCTTTTGCTATTTCTACTCTTGGGTCACTTCCTGCCTGCCTCCTTCTCCTCAAAAGGTTGGCCCTTTGAGGAGGGATGGGAGTGTATATGATTAGGGTCTCCCTGACTGGGCCATTTTGGATTATTCTCCAAAGGCCAAGGCATCTGCTGCTTGCTCCAATAGTCACAAAGGAATGAAGAATGAACAAAAGCATTTTTAAGTGGCCTAGGAAGGGGGATAAGCACATTTACTGAGCCTCTCCTGTGTGTTAGTGCTTCCAGATAAGTTACAGATTATTAACAGGTGATTTAATCCTTATTAAAAAACAAAACATAAGGATACTACACCAGAAATGCATGAATATTGTACAATGAAGCAGATGTAAAGTTATTATAATATTGGCCATAACACAGTGTCATTTATTCATCAAAAAAATAGTTTGAGGCATATTAAATGTTAGATAAAATATTTATTTGGGGGGTTGGAGGGAAATACTGTTTCTTCCATCTTCCTGCCCAATCCTGTCAGATTAAAATATATTCTTCTCCATGACGTTTCAGGGCACAGGTGCAAAAAAATAAAATGAATATTTAAATTCCAATTTAAATGCAAACTTGTTTAGCTGAAGGGAACAACGGTGTCAGTGAGCTGAAGTCAGCTCTGGCAGTTCCATCAGTGTCTGCGGTGTCTACGTGGGTAGCACTGTAAGATTACAACTGGTGTCATAAGCTGTTTGAGAAAAAAAATTCCTTTTACTATTTTCCCTAGTTTTCCTCTTGCCTGTAAAGTATTGTTTTTAAATACTGAGCACTTCTATAAAATAGCTTGCTCACATTGCACCACCTAGATGTTGCAGGATGTTTTCAGGCATATTGTTGTGCCATAAAGTAAGCCTGTGTTGTATCCCTGTTGGTTTAAATTTAATACTCACTTTTCATCAAATAGACTGAGCAGTTGCAGCAATGACTACCAGATACATCAGTAAAACAAACACTGTGTAAAACTTTGTATGATTGATGACTTCTAGTTAAAGAGATAAAAAGTCCTCAGCTGTCTCCCTAAGGAGGCATATAAAAATCACCTTATTTTTTTCCTGTAACTTGTCTCATATAAAATCAGATGTGTGAAATCCCATTCATATGTGATATGAGGGACTGAGTCTAGACCAAGAAAAAACCCAGTAATGGAAATATCAAGCTTCAGTGAAAGACTGGCCCACATTTTCATTCATAAAAATCCACCCAATGGGAATAATTTTAAGTGCCTAAAGGTCTACTTGAAGGATGTTTATCTTTTAGTAGGAAAAGTGGAAATGACCTAAGAAGTAAATGGGAGGGCTTAGGTTAAATGTATCATGGCATGCTCAGATAATGGATTACTACACTATGGATGTTTTAAAAAATATATCCGTGGAAATAAAAAAAGGCATTAGGGTTATTTGATCAAAAATCAATTTGCTAAATAATCAGTATACAGTACTATACAAAAACTGTATGGTATGATGCTGTTTTTATTAAAAATATATTGTGGCATACCCTAAATCATGTCTATTCAGGTTTGAGAGTTCTAGTTCAAGGGAGTTTTGGGTAAATCTTCCTACTTCCTTCATGTTAGGAAAACTGGTTGGGATTTCACGTGCCTGGTGAGCAGTTGAGAGCCATGAAACCAGAGCCACTGTGTGGGAGGCCACCTTCCAAATTGCAAAGTTGGCCAGCCTGTATTAAATTATGAACATGGTGCAGTTTGCTAATTTATAGCAGCAACACTTTCAAGTATCATATACATCATTTTTTGTTGATATCTTTTGCTGTTTTGCTTGTACTCAAAGGTTAGATTACATAAAGTTAAGGTACTTATGTATGCTTTCTGAGGTTATTTGGTACATAACTGTGAAAGGGTATAACTAGATAGCCATATTATAGAATAATTAATAATGTGATCAGTAATGGTAAACCTCGCAATGATTGTGTCCAGGTGTTTTGCTTTGTTTTCCATAAATGTATGCTAATTTTGGTAGACAAGTATGCATAAGAATTTTCACTGAAATTAGAGATACTTGCATGTTTAACATAGTAAAATAACATATGAGAAAAATCCTGAAAGATTTTTCAGGAATCAATTATCCTTGTAAGGTTGGAGAAGACTGTATGTGCATAGAAAGTATCTGTCAAAGGGTTAAAAGTGGGTCGTCCCTATTAGTAAAATTTTAGCTGCTTTTAAATTTTCTCCTTTTGGTTTGTCTCTGTTTTTAATTTTTCTACAGTGAGTATGTATTATTTTTACAAGGAAAAAAATTATAAATAAGATTTAAAGATGCAATTCAAGATTATAAACAAACACCTTTCTTGGACAACTGGGGTAGAGAAATGTTGGAAGTGGATTCGTGCAAGGATGAAAGTTAGCACTGCCCACAAAGTCAAGGTCCAAATATCATGAGGAAGCACCCAAACACCAAGAAGTGGGACCACTGACAAACTGACACAGTTGGTCTCTTTATTCTACTGCATCTTTCTTGGGTTTTCACAGGCACGTCATCATAGCACGCCAATGGTCTACTCTTGGCCCACAGGGAGGAAAGCAGTAAGGAGAAATTAACAGGAGAAGAAAACAAGAAAATGTTGGACAATTTGAGTAAAATTTCTGTGGTCTGAATATTTTAGGGAACTACCTACAAACCTTATTTAGGTATAATTATGCCTAATATTAGTGGGTGACATTTTTGGGGTTTGTTAGTAACCTGGGAAGGAGGAAGAGAGAAGTGTCACTTTTCTCAGACACAAAGAGCAATGCATGCAGGGACTTCTACTTATTTAACATCAACCATAAAAATGAGTTAAGATTGTGTTAAAAAAAAAATGCCACTGATCTATCACAATCTTCACTGTACCACAGCTTCTCAAATTTGAATGTACATCAAAATCTGCAGGAGATCCTGTTAAAATGCAGATCTGGATTCAGCAGGTCTGGGGTGGGGCCTAGATTCTGCATTTCTAACAAGCTCTCATGTGATGTTGCTATTGCTGCTGGCCCAGGGTCTGAGCAGTGTGGTCTAGGGCACCCTGAACAACACCTCTCTGAAGTTAATTGGCCCACAGAGAGCAGAGAGGGAACCCTTCCACCTGGTTTCATTAGACTCCTGCTTTAATCAGCTGCTGGAAAGGGACCAGACTGATTGCTATGAGCAACGCTGACAGTCAAATATAAGCCTATATCCACACTCACGCTGATTGGCATTTATAATGCCCCTATATACCAGAAGAAATATGGGAAAAAATTTAATTAACAGGGAGGAAACATAATCCTACATGTTATATCCATCAGAGCGTTAAATATGAACAGACCAACAACTGAGTACAGGGTATCTCCTCAGCTTCAGGCAAGAGCCTTGTATAGAACATTGTGAGATTCCCCTTCATGAGTAGGTGGCCGCAGATTCTCTTCAGACCTCCCCAAAATAAAGCCCCAGTGAAGGGCACACACCTTTGCTGGGAAGAAAAGCAGAGGGCCTTTCCTGTCGCCTGCATCATTTTCCCTGCTCTGGTTTTATCTTGGAAGCCTTGGGATCGGAGAAATTTTCCCAGTTCGTTTTCTTCTTGAGACAAGACTGGTGAAAAAAAGACCAAAAGAAGCCATGAACAATGAGCATTTTTATTGTGAAGAGAAGGAGAAAGACAAATCACAAGGTCCTCTGTCTTCCAGAGGCAAAGATGAGATGAAATTAAATCCAAGTGGCAGGCTACAAGGTAACCCCCACCCCCACCCCATTTAACGTTCATGCTGTTCTTCCATTTACAATACTAGAGATCAATTTCACTTGAATACACCTGTCAGTGAGTTTGGTGTCCTGTAATCAGAACCAGAAAATGACCTCTGTACTGAAAAGCAAGTCCATAATGTGCCGCTTCAAGCTGAAATAAAGGAGTTGGGTTTGTCAAGTATGACTGTGGGAATCTTTTGTGTCTGCCTATAATGCAGGGCTAGCTGCAGCCCATTATTCTCTCCTGCCAACTCTTTGATCTCTGCTTTCTGAGTTACATTCTATTTGATTGTAAAGCAATTCAAATACTTCATCCATGACACAGGTTTTTGGTTGGAGGTAGGGGTGAGGAATGAGGGAGGGTAGGTCATCAGGGTGATGACTTGGCAGGTTTTTAAAATACAGAGCTGAAGGGCCGACCCCGTGGCTCACTCGGGTGAGTGCAGCGCTGGGTGCGCCGCGGCCACGGGTTTGGATCCTATATAAGGATGGCCGGGGCGCTCACTGGCTGAGTGCGGTGCGGGAGACACCAAGCCAAGGGTTGCGATCTCCTTACCGGCCACAAAAAAAAAAAAAAAAAAAAAAAAAAAAAAAAAAAAAAAAAAAAAAAAAAAAAAAAAAAAAAAAAATTTTCCAAAAAATTTT